CTACAGGACAACCCCCTGTATTTGCATATTTCGACAGAACAACATCCCTGTATTTGCATATTTCGACAGAACAACATCCCTGTATTTGCATATTTCGACAGAACAACATCCTGTATTTGCATATTTCGACAGAACAACATCCCTGTATTTGCATATTTCGACAGAACAACATCCTCTATTTGCATATTTCGACAGAACAACATCCCTGTATTTGCATATTTCGACAGAACAACATCCCTGTATTTGCATATTTCGACAGAACAACATCCCTGTATTTGCATATTTTACAGAACAATATCCCTGTATTTGCATATTTCTACAGAACAACACCCCTGTATTTGCAGATTTCTACAGAACAACACCCCTGAATTTGCATACCTCGACAGAACAAAATCCCTGTAATTGCATATTTCGACAGAACAAAATCCCTTTATTTGCATATTGTGTCGGAGGATGGTATTCCTATGCAAAAATGGACAATTTTCCTTTATTATAAATACATTTGGTACATTTATTACATCTATTAATGACTTAAAAGAATGTTTCGTTTGATCCTCTAAGGGCAGAATACTGATATTCAGATATGTAAATAAGCCACAACACCAATTTTAGAAATTTCAGGCAAAACTCGTATCCCTGCCCGATTATTAATCACCTTGAGCTAATAAAACATACTGAGATGATTTACAACTCAAAGCTGATTGGCTGGATAGGTCATGTGACAGTAGAGAACCAATAAACGGGAGAATAAGCCGCACACCTTATATACATATTTACATATATTTCGATTAAAGATTGGAGGAATATATTCTGATTACTTTCCGTAATCATGCAAATATAAAAATGACAAAATTTGCATAGATGCATAGTATATAAAAGGAAGATGGCTTCGATATAATCATTCAGGATTTGCATAATTATGTAAATTATGCTTTGTGACCCACTGAGATAGCCGGTGGTTATACTTGAGAGTAGCCAAGTGTAAAATTGCATATATATAATGCCAACTATGTGTTTAAAAGTTGCACTAATTGAGTTTTGGCAGTTTAAGTGCTTGTCTTATTTTGGTTGAGTCATTGTTCTATATTCGAAATTAATAGTTCAAGCTTTGGAAGTCATTGTTTCGTCTTCGGAAGTGATTGTTTCGTCTTCGGAAGTAATTGTTTTATCACATCGGAAGTCATTGTTCTATTTTCGAAAGTAATTGTTCTGTCTTCGGAAGTGACAGTTCCACTTTCAAATAAATCTATCTTCGGGGAAATGATTGTTCAATTTTCGAAACTAATTGTTCTATCATCGGAAGTGACTTTTCCCTTTTCGAAAGTAATTGGTCTGTCTTCGGAAGTGATTGTTTCGTCTTCGGAAGTGATTGTTTTGTCTTCGAAAGTGATTGTTTTGTCTTCGAAAGTGATTGCTTCGTCTTCGAAAGTGATTGTTTTGTCTTCGGAAATGATTGTTTTGTCTTGGAAGGTGATTGTTTTGTCTTCGGAAGTGATTGTTTTGTCTTCGAAAGTGATTGTTTTGTCTTCGAAAGTGATTGTTTTGTCTTCGGAAGTGATGTCTTATCGCTAGAGACCACATCTCCACAAAGGAGACAGTTTTTATCACCAAAAAATTACCATTTTTACTAAATAGCAACTTTCTGGTATTAGGATAACTTTCCCAAAAAGAAACTTTTGCTCTGCAACTAGGTGTTGTCTTTTACAGAGAGGTAGTTCTACTGTGTATCCGCTCAAATTAAAGGAAATAATTCATAGAGAATGGAACCTCAATAAAATCCTTTTCAATCTTTCACCCCCCCTCCCCTCTAAAAAAAGCAAATACTTAGCTCAAATATAATATTAAATAAGAAATATTTTAGCGTTTTAAAATGTTAATTTATTCACCTATTTCAAAATGTAAACACTTGACATTGCCGAATGATTCGCTTACTAATTTCTCTCTCTGTGTGAAAAAATAAAATATTAATTAAATAATGTAATGGAAATAGAAAATTTTGTATTTATCTATGAATTTTCACGCTCCTTTTCATGAAGTAAAGACAATATTGACTTTTGACTCTAAAACATTATTGGATAAAGAGAGAAGAATTAACGATTCAAATATTTTATAGAAGAAATTTAACACTATTAAATATGTTATTTTTTTACTTACTCAAATGAAAAAAAAAACCTTCTTAATGCCATTACTATGATTAAAATAAATTCAGAAGGCCTGGGTCATCAGTGGTCCATGTGTGTGTTGAAAATAGAGCAATCCGTTTTTGAAATCAGTAAATAATGAAGGTATACTTTGGATCAAGATTGCTTATTAGAAACAGTCGATGAGATAGTTCGTCTGGGATTGAAACCTTGTAAACAAACCATCACATTACTCATGCATCACGTGGATGATTTGTTTATAAAGTTTGAATATCAGAATAAGGAGTAAAGGAAGACGGGCGAACTGCCTCAACGAAATATTGGACAATTGACAATTAAACAACTTTATTTAACATCTCGTCAATCTTTACACTCAAAGGGAGTTATAAGGTAATAATAATGGTAGGAATGAAGAGAGATATATACAATCGACATAGCCATCTCCGAGGGCACGTCCGGATCAGGAGCTTAAAGCCGCCTTGAATCTAGACAGATCCCTGCCATTTGGGGAGTTCAGAACATGTTTGATGATAATGTCGAAGAATTTGTCGAGAAGAATCTTGTCTTCAGGCGTGAGTAACCCGAGGAGGTGCTCCGTTTCTTCTTCGTAATAGACCGCGAGTATGATATCTATCCTGACCATACTATTGGATGTTTCTAATATTGATCCAAGATATGAACCTGAATATAGTATATATAATATATATGCATCAAAAGTGGCCCCTCTCCAACCATGCAATCTCTTGTGTATAATCTCGCGTGTTTTAAGACTTGATGGCGTCTAGCTTTGACGTCTATTTTGACGGGAGAGGTGACCTTTGTCTTTTCAGATCAATATCCTCCCGGCAAAATTCCCATATATATATATATATATATATATACATCTATATATATATAAATCAATGTTTGTATGTTTGTTTGTTTGTATGTCCGGTATACAAATTCGCAGTAGTTCACTAATTCAAACCAAAATTTTCATACATAGGCAAAAAAAATACGGGGAAGACGATAGGCTATTTTAAAAAATATATAAATCAATTATTAAAACTATATATTCAAATTATTCTACTTAGCTCACGAACAGCGCCCTTTATCAAAGATTAGATTAAATTATGCTGATGCAAACAAATAGATAATGCTAATAACAAACAATTATTAAAAAAATCTTATCTAAATATATATCACTCGGGTAGATATGCACACGGGTCAATCCCGGGGCGAAGCCCGGTTCACCCGTCTAGTATATAATAACATAAAGTTGTGGGAAGATAATATTCATTGTACCAAAATGAGCACCTCTCCCTTTCAACAATGCAACAGAACGATCCATTATGTTTATATCACCCCTAGTAATTATCTTTATTGGTGTTGATATATGATAAGCCAAAACACCAGTTTTGGAAAATTCAGACAAAAAGTTAACCAGTATACCATGAGTTCGGGCTATGAGCCCTCATCAGTACAGGGACGGCTTCCATTTCATAACATTCTACGAGAGAGGTTATGGAATCGGTCGAATTTACCAAACAGTAGGATGTTATGGAATCAAAGCCGTCCCTGTACTGATGAGGGTCATAGTCTGAAACCATGGTATACTGGTTGTTGGCTTTTGTCTGAATTTGTCAAAAATTGTGTTGTAGCTTATTATTCATTATCATTAGTAAAGGTTTTTACTGGGGTGATGAACAAGTGCATCGTTCTGAAGGACAATTAAAAGAAGAGGTGCTCATTTTGATACAATGAATATTATCTTCCCACCACTTTATGTTATTCTATATGCATGTTATATAAAAATATTATTTTATTTTAAATTATAATTTCATAGATTCAAATACTCTGCTAAATCAACCGCCAGAGGTTGTTTCCCGTTGGCCGGCTCAAAACTTTTGTACATTATGTAAATAATCTTTTGTTTTTCCTTATTCTACTCGCCTTAAGCCAGGCATTACTTTTATCAAATTGTTTTTTTTTAAATATATATTCTATAAGTTCAATTAAAGCAATATCTGATCAAAACCATTATTATTTTTTTTTTCAAGATTTTAACCACGATTGCATCACTAATACCATTTAGTACTAAAAAGAACCAACAAATAACTCCATAGAATAACCCTAAAGATGACCAAAAAATACAACAGAATATCTAATTATTTTATATAATATGCGTATATATATATGGAATTTTTTCCGGGAGGATATTGATCTAAAAAGACAAAGGTCACCTCTCCCGTCAAAATAGACGTCAAAGCTAGATGTCATCAAATCTTAAAACACGCAAGAATACACACAAGGCATGGTTGAAGAAAATCTACTCTTACTCGAAATTTTGCCTTCTTGATGATTATTATAAGATAATAAACAAACTTTGTTGTATAGAGAATTGGAGTATTTTATATATAAAGTCTTCAATATACCAAGGTAGGTATTGAGGGTTCTCAATATAGATTTGATGTCTCTCTTTACCTTAAGAGACGACCTAGTGTCCATCTACTTGACCAGCTCGGTAACTTCAAGGAAGAGGCTCTAAGGATGACTATCAATTGTCCAAAACTTATTCAGAACTCCTTTTTATTGAAAAACACGGTCAATTTATACAATCATAGAAATTTACATAATTTTTTTCTCTTAATTTTTAAGTTACAAATATATTTGCATAAAAATAAAGTTGGCTGCTCTAGGAGACGTAACAGTAGGGGTTTAGTTCAACAAAGTGGTATAATGACACTTGGTGACAATTAAGGGGGGTGGGGACATCTCCCACGAAATGTCCCTGGGTGTCATGCCACCGACGACCTATTTCCGTCACCCACGCTAAGAATAGGTGCACTTTAAAAATACAGGACCTTGAGGTTGCCTTGTACACCCCCCCCTCGCTCGCACTGTTTACGAAATTGCATAGTTCCCAACTGAGGTAAGTCTCGTTCGTAATACCCCCGCGGGTCCATGGTCAAATCTATTAGTTTTATATTCATTGAATAATAGTCTTTTCTTATACATAGAAAAATCTTCTTCTTCTTATCTTCATCTTTATAATTACAATAAATATAATTTTTTTGGTAGGTATTATTTTTAATATTCAATATAAAAGATTTTTGATAAGGCACAATTTGGATTATAGATTATAAACACAAGGTAATAAGACCAAATAAATAAATAGTGTGTGACGTTTCGGTAACAGCGTTGTTACCATCTTCAGACAAAAGTACTGAATCTGAAGATGGTAACAACGCTGTTACCAAAACGTCACACACTATTTATTTATTTGGATTTAGTCTTATTACCTTGTGTAAATGATTTTTATAATATTTTATAGTTATATAATATTTTGAATTTATTAGAGTGAAGATACGTATGATCAAAATAACAAATAATAAAGAAGTGTTTTGGAGATGCAATTTAAGAATACATATTAATAAGATGCCCTTGGTGAAGGGGAAAAAATAAATCTTAGAAAAAAACGTTAATTTTTCATCGATGAATAGAAATATATAAAGCTAATATAGGCAAAATGTAATATACTAAATGTAAAATATTCTCTAATTTTCTGTGCTTTTTTTCAAATAATTGTTTACGAGAGGGAGTCTAAGAAGTGAACTAAACATAAAAGACGTATGTAAAAAGTCGTTGATGGATTTATGATTTTTTTTTTGTTTTCAAAATATTTCGAGGGATTGTTCTCTCTTTTTCAATTCAAGGCAAACAAAAAAACTTTAAAATAATTGACAAATTCTTATAGATTGACAAAATTAATACTATCATTGGTCAAAATTTAAAAAAGTTGAAAAATTAAAAGAATAATATTTTTTTAAAGTTTGACCATTGACAATGTTGTTTCCTTGCGATCTACAAGGATTTGTAAATGACTGTTACGTGTTTAGTTCAATAAATTGAAAAAGAGAAAGAAATCCATCGAAATATTTGGAAACACAAAATTGATTTTCTTTCACAGATCCAAGTACGCTTTTTTTATATACTTGTATTCAATGGGAATCACCTTTTGACTCAAACTTAAACATAGGGAAAAACCTATCTCGAACTGAAAGATATCGAAATGTTTTAAATTCTTGGAAGGTTTAATTTCATAGTTTCGTTTCAGATGAAAGTGAATGAGTTGTTGACCGAAATGTCGTGAAAAAAAAAAGGTTTATTCCGATAGATGGCGTAAGCCATCAGCAACTTTTAGTTGCACGATCAGGAAAAAATGTTCTTTTTTCTTAAAAAGAACTTTGTTTGGTTGATACATTCATCTTCAATATAGTAAATCAGGTTTGGCAGAATGATTAGCTGGTTGTTTTCTTTGTGAATTACGCTAAAATCTGAACGTTTCTCTTTTATTAAAAATAAAATTGGGTTACCAGCTTTCGACCCACAGCTCTTCATCAATGCCCTGTGTGTAATAGTGTCTCATTATTTGTCCTATTTATCATCGCAGGGAGGACTGTAGGTAGTACACCTATCCCCCGATTTACACGGTAGATACGTTCCTGAGAAAAACGTGTAAATCGAAAATTAAAAATTTTCGCGAAATTTTTATGCGAAGAAATACAGACACAGTGTGCGTGTGTAGCAAGTCATCACATAAGCTCGGGATTCCTCGTGAGAGGTGTACACAGCGCATGTGTTCAATCACAATAGCATTTAGTATAGTGCGATAAAAAAAAAACTTATTTGGAAAACCGTGTAAAAGCGAAAACGTGTAAAACAAGTACCGTGTAAATCGAGGGATAGGTGTATATTGATTTTTAAAAAGAAGAAAAACAGCACAAATTTGCTTTTATTTTCTTGTATATAGATAACGTACTATTGACATATGTTAAAAATAGCCTTATATCACAGCCTTGAGAAAGATCTGTCAGCTCGAAAGCTGGCCCAATTTTATTGTAATAAGGAAACATTTATTGATTTATACTAATTTTATAATCCCTTGTAATCCTAAATAAGAATTATTAAGAAAAAGGAACCTCCTAATCGATATAAAAAAGTTGCTGATGGCTTGCGCCATCTATCGGAATAAATAAATGATTTTTAATTATTGCAGAATTGGCCAAATATTCTTTGTAGATTAATCAAGAAAAGCTAAGCCCGTACGCGTTTCGGGCTGTTGGTCCTCATTAGCGTGGTGCAAGCTCAACGACCAAAAAAAAAAGAAATTGGTTTTTGAGGCATCTTGAAAAAATCACGAAACGGATATTTAAAGCCTGAAGGGCGTGAGAACGCCCAAAAAATGTGAAATTGTACTGGGATAAGTGAATAATTTAAAAAAATGGTATTTTCTGATGTTACTTTTACTGATGTTACTGATGGCTTGCGCCATCTGTCGGAATAAATAAGAAACCACACGTTTCTCTATTCTATAAGCCACTCTTAATATCTATTTCAACTTCGGAATATTTCCTTGAAAGAAATAAAGATGGACCTTTACTTAGCAAGACAGCGCTTCTTAGAACAAAACCAAAGAGAAAACGAGAAATGGTAACAAATCTTTAAGATTTTTTACATCTTATGTATTTTACCGATTAGTGTTTTCTACAACGACCTATAGAGGACAGCTCCCTCCCAAAATACCATGGAGCAAGTAACCCTAGCGAGGCTGACATCCTGTTTGGTACAGACGACCTGGTTTTGTAAATGTATTTTTGTCGGAGAAGGTGTGTGTGCCGCCTTCATTTGTCTCTAGCAGAGGTTGACGTAAACATCTGACCGTACAACACTGATTTGGCTTTCTTCTCTCATTGTTTATGATGTATATTAATATACATACACACACAAATCTTTATTAAGACCAGCGGTTATACAGATTCATCACAGGAAGAAATAATATATATTTAGCTCCTATTGATGTCTTCTTCTTCTTCTTTCTTATCTCAACCATCATGACTGGGCGAAGTAGAATGCGTCTGCCTTTGTCATTAAGACTGGGAGCACTACTCAGTGGCAGGCCGACTTAGCTCCAAAAGAAATGGCCGCCTCTGACATGAGGAACAGACGCCATGTGCAGCCGCTCCTAACATGGAGTACAAACGCTGCTCATCCTGTATCCCTGGATCAGGAGCCCTTACAGGGTACTATCAGCCGGGCCAGCTGAACCCAGGTTTTTTAGTGAGCTTGTTACTGCTCCCCCTCCTCCTTTTTCATCCGGGATTGGGACCGGAAAAGGCGGAGTTGCTATTTATGTATATTAATATAACAAATGAACACATTAAGACGCGAATGTTTCTTTTCACAAATAAATCAAACTTCTACTGTCCTTACTGCGATGGAAAAAATATTAGGAGGGCTTGGTTCATCAGTGGTGAACCCTCCAGGCAGTTTCGTCAATTTAATTTACCACTTCTTTAGAGCTCTAATACTGTATTGGATCATTCTGCTTTTATATGCTACACTGAAGGGTGGAATCAAAGAATGGTATTTAAGCAAACTATGGATATAAGTTTTTTAGGATAGTAGAATTACATTTAAATAAATTGATTTATTTGTGAAAAAAGAAACATTCGCGTTTTCATTCGTTATATATAGATGGCTCGTTATTGCGTTGTATTAATTAGATAATATAGTGAAATAAAGAAATAGGGCAACTCTGTGCTTCACTTCCATCAATAATTGACAATATGACCCAGAATAAGTATATTGCTACGGCGTTTTATGGTTTCCACAAGTCCGTATCTCAGAAGAAGGCCAAGTGACACTCACTCCTCACTTTCTTACTGCTACTCTTTTTGTGTTGTTTTTCTTGCTTCCCTCTTTCTCTTTCTTTCTTTTTTTTTCTTTTTCTTCTGTATATATCGTTATTTCCTTTGTCTCACTGCTTTGTTCTTATGCATACCTCTGGTGAATCCTGTATAGGGTCAGTGACCCTGAATAAAGGCTTTTTGTTGTTGTTGTTGAAATAAAGAAATAAAGCACGGGGAGTGTATTCCCAGAGATTTCACCAATTTCATCTATTAGCTTGCTACAACGCCTTGCATCAATCTGAAGACCATGGTATCGAACTATAGCCCTTCTCAGTCCAGGATAGAATCTGATTTCATGATATTTGCTGGACAGTGACGGCGGGCGGCTAACTTCGGCAACACCGGAGCTGACGTCACACCCGTACTTTCACTTTCTGTTTTTGTATCCTGCATCGGCGTAGCCGCGCTGACTCGTATTTTCTTTCCCCATGATTACCATTTCAATATATATATAATCCTTTCACCTTGTTGTAGTTAATTAAAGAATAATTAACGTTAAGCGCTGTGTGTGTAAATCAAATTGAAATACAACAATATTCACAAGTGATTTCTTGAGAGATATTTAACTTGCAATGTAAGAGTTAGATCAATTATATGACTAACACATATAAACTACTTCTAAGAAGGAATACAAGGTAACTTCGACATCCTTCTTTATTAAAGATATATAATCTTGGCAAGCTTTCGTACAATAACCTTCTTCAACAAGCTGTAATACGAATATGCTATACCCTACGAATAGGTATTCGTATTAGAGTCTGTTAAAAGATGTTATTATCCGAAAAAGCTTTAGCCAAGTTTATTTCTCTTTAGTAAAGAATAAACTCTTCGATTTCATCTCTTATTAGCAATTATATCCTGCGGTAACTCCTCTTGTAACCTATAAGATTTAACTGTGTTGCTGGAAAGGAATTGTTTGGTTAAAAATGTATGTTTTATTCTTATTTGTTATTAATTGTTAATTGGGCAACTCTGTGCTTCACTTCCATCAATAATTGACAATATGACCCAGAATAAGTATATTGCTACGGCGTTTTATGGTTTCCACAAGTCCATATCTCAGAAGAAGGCCAAGTGACACTCTCTCCTCACTTTCTTACTGCTACTCTTTTTGTGTTGTTTTTCTGGCTTTCCTCTTTCTCTTTCTTGTTTTTTTTCTTCTGTCTATATCGTTGTTTCCTTTGTCTCACTGCTTTGTTCTTATGCATTAATTGTTAATTTTATTGTAGAAATTGTTGTTAAATGTTATTCATTGATGTGTTATTCTATTCTTTATTGTTAATTTATATAATTCATTGTTTTACATAATTAATTCTTTATTGTTTTATTTTAATCTGTATATATTTTCATTGATTCGGCAACAGTGTGTTGTCTATATATTTTGTGTTTTGTTTTGTTTACTCATTAGTCTAGTTAAATCGAGTCATCAAGTCATGTTAGGCTAATCAAATTAATTCATGTAGCTTTATTTTTTTCTGTAAAATTATTCAAGAATCATTAAATCGAAATTCTTTGTTCAATTACGTAGAGTTCCCTTATTCAAGTTTACAGAACTCATTCAAGTGGATCATCGCTATACCGTAGCTCATAGCATTTGACCTAGGTAGACCACGCGAATTTACAGGAATATTTTTTGTATATCTTCTATATCAACGGAAGATAGGAATGTCTCCCCTTTCTTTTTATACAACTATTAAACATGAGATTCATGATAATAACATGACATAGACTTGAAGACTTAGACAAGTGAAAACATTTTCTCCACCTTTTTCCATCACGATTTTGTCAAACTACACTCAGACACAAAACTTAAGTAAGTTGTACTTTTTAGCATGTATATCGGGATTCAGACAATAATTTTGAAAGATATTACAGTGAACTTTATTGGAGACATACGAGATAACCAAGTGTGAACATAATTACCTCTATCTCCTTCAAAAAAAAAAAAAAAAAATAGACGACCGTCAACATCAAAGACTTTCCACTTCCTGAAAGTTTTGGTCTATGAGGGTGTCATTTTAAAAAAAGAGAGCTAATAAAAAAAAAGAAATTAATATTTCAGATCGTGGTTAACCTCTCAGGATAAAAATGTCCCGACACAGAATTAGATCAAAGACTTCTTTTAAAAAATACATATAATAATAAAAAAAAGATAAGAAAGAAGAAAAAAAAAAGCCACCAAAGTGGTTTAAGATGCCGGAAAGTATTTCATCTATTTCTCTTCGGAGTTACAATTGAATAAAATGAGGGAAAAAAACAACGTTCGATATTTATATATGTTTCTTCTCCATCATAAATCTCATTTTAAACCTCTTGCATTTGTTCCGATTGGCTGTGAGGTTTTTAAAATGATTACTGGGATTGGATAAAAGGCCGGGGAATTTACTGGCCAAATTTCTACAACGGGGGGTGTTATCAAGAGAAATGATGGAATTATATAAATTTTTATAAATTTACACCATTTGTCTTCATGAATGCTTCCCTTTCTAACGGGAATTCTTTAGGGATGTGAAAGAGAAAATACTGGAAACGTGTGTGTATGTTGTAGGCGGTGTTTCATGTATATATATGTTTTAAAAATAGAAAGATTTTCTGTTTGATTTTTGATTATTTTGTGATCATACAATGCAGTCGTGGTTAAAAATCTTGAAAGAATAATAATAAAAATGTGAATATTAGAAATAGTTTTAATTGAGCTTACGGAATATAGAAAACATAATTTGATTAAAGTACTTCCTGGCTTAAGGCGTAAGAGTAAAAAAAAAAAGATAACTTATTTACATAATGTACAAAAGTTTTGAGCCGGCCAACGGGAAACAACAACAATGGGTTACATAGTGGAAAAGCATGACCTCTGGTGGTCGATTTAACAGAGTAATTTAATCTATGAAATATATTTAAAAGAAAATAATATTTTATTATAACATATGAAGATGAACCTCTCCTGTTAAAAATGCATTCTGTACTGGGGTGAATAATCAAAATATATTGTTTTAATGCATTTTAAAGGGAGAGGT